GCCCATAACCAATTACTGAGAACACATTATGTGTTCTGAGTATTGTACTGTGTACTAGTAGAGCAACAACGAGCAATAGCCTTACTTCTGCTAATTGATGGTTCACACCCAGACTCCTTGTTGGCATCCTTCCTGCATATTAAAGTTAGATAAGAAAACGAAAATGGTAGTTTAACTAGATATGCTTAAAGAAACAGATTTTGACATGTTCTGATTTTTTTTGCACGAAGTAAAAATGATCTAATTTCTATTTATTTTATATTATCATTAAATTTAGTTTTATATTTACATTAAATTTATGCTACATACAGATATCATAAATGTGATTCAAATTGAAGAAGACATCTATTCGTTGATGTTTAATATAGGGATATTAATTATACTTCTCTATGCCTGTCTTTTGATTGATTAATCTTCAACTTTCAATTAGAAAAAAAATCTCTCCAAGACTATAAGGAAAAAATGTAACATTTTACACATATCTGCTGTGCTACTGATTTTAATTAAATAGGTTTCATTCTAAGGGACATCTTTCTCATGTTTTATGTAAATATTTGAAAAAGCATGATAAAACATGCCCACTTTAATATGCTTTAGATGACTTTACTTATTGCTTTATATTCTTCCAAAGATAAACTTGCAGCATTAATATTCTTTCAGAGCTGGGTTGATGGCTCAGTGGTATAGTGCTTGCCTTGAATGTGTGATGCCATGGGTTTATTACCCAGTACTTCCTTTTCCTCCACAAAACAAAAAAAACAAATGCTCATTTATAGTTGCAAGCTATGTTACAGTGCTAACAACTTTTGTAATCTCTTCTTTTTCCAAGTATAATTCTTTATTTAAAGAAGTTGGAACTTGCCTTTTCATTTAGAGACTCCCTGAGATATAACCCTCTTGTCTTGCAGAAAGTGACAAGAATCATCCCTGTTGATCTAGGTTCATCTTCTAAATGAATTTTGACCTATTGCTAGTAGGTCAAAACAATGAACAGTTTATATATCTTATAACCATTTAAGTTTCTCTATCATCTTTTTAGGGGCACAGTGCATATTATAACCTGAAGGTTTGTGTCCTCCTAAAATTCATAAATTGAAATATTTTCCCACTAAACATTGATGACAGGTAAGTGGAAGCTTTGGGAGATGATTAGGTGTTTAGAGTAGGGTCATTGTAAGAATGACCCAGTGGAAGACTATGTTAATGACATATAAGTGAAGGTGGTGAAACAACTGGTTGGGCCACTCTATGGGTAGAAAGAGGGTACATCTTGTGGGGAAAGAAAGTGGGTTTTACAGAATCTTCATCGGGCAGAGGTGGGGGGGATGTTTCTTTAAGCTGAGCAGGCTGTCTCAGACCAATCGGAAAATAGATGCCCTTAATCCAGATAGTTGAAGTAATTGATAAGGGAGGTAGTGACTTTCCTGGTAACAGAAATCAGCCTTAAGAGATACCAGAGAAATTCTTAGGTGCAGCTTCTGTTTATTCAATAAAATCCTTCTGCTTATACAGCCAGTCCTTCTGTTTGGGGCACTGTCACCAGCACTGCCATTTGGGGGTGGGGGCTGATTTGGACCTAAAATGTGCTATCCAGAAAGGGCACTCTCACAAGGCACTGAATCTACTGAAGTTTTCATCCTGGACTTCCTACTCTTCTGGGGTATAAAATAACTTCCTGGGGTTCACAAATTACCTAGTCTAGGGTATTTTAACTTACTTTTTCAAATTATCTAAGAATATGTCTTTGCAAGAATATTACTAGATGGTGTGGAGAGGATCATTGTCATTTTATTTTATTTTTTTAAAATATCAGAGGTAAAACATGTGGTACAGAACTGAAGAAAGAATTCTCAATAGAGGAAATCAAAAAGGCTGAAAGACACTTAAGAAAGTGCACAATATCCTTAGCTATCAGGAAATGCAAATCACAGCAACTCTGAGATACCATCTTACTCCTGCCAGAATGGCTAAAATTAGAAACACCAATGACAACTTATGTTGGAGAGGATGTGGAGAAAGGGGAACACTCCTCCACTGCTGTTGGGAGTGCAAACTTGTACAGTCATTTTGGAGATCAGTATGGTGGTTCCTCAGGAAAATGGGAATCAGTCTTCCACAGGACCTGGCAATCCCCCTCTTAGGCATATACCCAAATGATCCACATCCATGCAACAAAGATATGTGGTCAACTATGTTCATAGCAGCAGTATTTGTAATAGCATGAACCTGTAAGCAACCTAGATGCCCCTCAACTGAAGAATGGATAAAGAAGAGGTGGTACATTTACACAATGGAATATTACTCAGAGGGGGAAAACAAAACAAAACAACAATAAAAACAACAATGGAATCTCGAAATTCACAGGCAAATGGCTTAAATTTGAAGAAACCATCCTGAATGAGTCAATCCAGTCACAGAAAGAGGAACATGGTATGTACTCACTCATATATGGTAGTCCTAGAGCAAAGGATCATCAGCCTATAATTCACATTGCCAGAGAAACTATGATGCAAGGAGGAACCTAAGAGATTTATACAAGGTCCCTCACAGGAGGGTAAAGGTACAAGATCTCCTGAGTATAATGGGAATAAGGGGGTCAGTGAGTGGAGAGGTAGTTAGGAGAAAGAGAAGTAGAGGAGAGCAGAGTATGTGGGACTAGGAACATTGAGTCAGAGGATGAATAGATGAGAGAGAGAAATAAAAAAAAATACCATAAAAGAGGGAGCCATTATAGGTTTGAAGAGAAAACTGACTCAAGAGAAATGTCCAGAGACCTACAAGGATGACAGGATGACCTCAACTAACAATCTGAGCAACAGTGGAAAGGCTACCATAAATTCCCTTCACTGATAATGAGATTGATGACTAACTTATCTACCATCATAGAGCCCTCATCTAGTAGATGATGGAAACAGAAGCAGACATCCACAGCTAAACACTGTTTTGCCAGTGCAGAGAGGGAGGAGTGATAAGAAAATGGGGACAAGATCAGGCTATAGAAACCCACGGAGACAGCTGACCTGAACAAGGAAGAGCTAATGGACCCTGAGACTGATAGCTGGGAAACCAGCATTGGACTGACTCAGACCCCCTGAACATGGGTCTCAGTTAGAAGGCCTTGGCAATCTAAGGAACCTCAGACAGAGGAACCAGGATGTATCTCTGGTGCAGAAATGGACTTTGGGTGCACATTCCCCATGGAGGGATACTCCCCTAACCTAGAGGCAAGTGGGAGGGCCTAGTCCCTAGACCAAATGACTTGAAGATTTTTTTGATCCTTCCTGAAATGCATCTTTGTAAGAAGTACGGGTTTTTCTGCCTGCTGATGCTGGTCTTGTCCTGCTGCTGCACCAGCCCCAAATAATGCACAGAGACTCTGTATTTGATACAATGCTATTGGCCAGGTGCTAGTTTCTAATTGGCTAGCTCTGTCTTAATTATTAACCCATTTCTATGTATTTCCATGTGGTCTTACCGAGAGCGGAGGAATGGCGGTTCTGTTCTCTCCAGGCTCTCCATCCTGACTCCTCCTCCCTACTTCTTATTTCCTCCTTGTCTCCTAGTCACTCCTATCTTCCTTTCCTATTGGCCAACAGTGCTTGCTTTATTTATTAACCAGTATGAGAAACATATACAGAATGACATCTCCCATCACATCTCCCTCCCTGTGGATTGGTGGGGGGAATGTGTTGGGAGGGTGGTGGTGGGGGGCATGATTGGGAGGGACTGAAAGAGAGAGGGAGGGTGAGGGAACTGGGATTGATCATATGTCTACAATCTATCTATTTATCATCTATCTACTTATCTATTTATTTTGATAAGTTGCTTGTATCAGATATCTGATAACCATTAAAACTCAATGAATATGTAAATTTTGGGAGGTAGATGTTTTTATCCTTACTTCAGAGTGAAAATCAAAAGGCCTGAAGTAACTTTTCTAAATGGAATCATAGAAAATGATGAATTAGTCTGACTCAAATCACTTTTTCATTATATTTTATGTTTCAGCTCTTAGATATATTATAACTTCAAAACCTTTAAAGATAAATACAGCTTGCTTATATACAGTTTGGTTTGTTTGGAGTATCACTACTTCATGTAAAGTGTGGTCATGAGAAGTTAAGGATTTAAGGATTAAGACATAATGTGAGTCCTTTACCACCTATCACAACTAAACATAGACACTAATATCCAAGAGCTGAGAGGGTAGGCCTCTGTGTGGTCTAACAAAATAAATAGGTCTATAAAAAACAGAATACTCTTCAATTTTCAGTTCTCTCATTTGGACTGTGGAGAAAAAATTCACCCTGGACTCATATCTAGGGTTTATTGACTAGAAAATGTTAAGGAAAAATGTTGAAAGTCCCAAACTCTGAAGTCATGAGAACCGAATCAAGGTAGAATTTAACTGCGTTGCTTTGCAGACGGTTGACAATTCAGTTATTTCCCTTAGATAGCAAGCATAATAGAAATGAAAGCATTTAAATAAGAAAATCTAATAGCTGATCAAATTCAATGAAAAATGATACATCTACTACTCTACATCAATTGGAGAGAAAATCACTGTGAAAAAGCCAATCACCATTTCTTAGGAGATTCCACTTTAAAACACTTTCCTCTCCTTACTTGTGCTCTGTGCCAACAAGCCATGGAATGAATTGGAGACAATGAGAGGCCAGGAAATTTGTATTTTCCATATGTTAGGAAACAGCCAGAGAAAGAAGTGTTGGTACCTATTCTACCAGTGATATTTAGTTATCTCTTCCCTCCCTCTCCTTCTCTCTCTCCTTCCCTTCTTCCTCTCTTTTCTTTCATTTACCCCCATTCTCTTCTTACTAGAGAGTAATTTGAGCCTCTTGTCCTAGGTACAGAGCTATTGTGAATCCCATGGACATGCAGACTTCTGGCGTGGTGCTGTGGACCAGTGTGAAGGCTGTGAGCATCTGGGTGGTCTCTGTGTTGTTAGCAATCCCTGAAGCTGTGTTTTCAGAAGTAGCACGAATTGGTAATTTGGATAATAGCAGTTTCACTGCATGCATACCCTACCCGCAAACGGATGAGTTACACCCGAAGATTCACTCAGTGCTTATTTTTCTTGTTTATTTCCTCATACCACTTGTTATTATCAGCAATTATTATTACCACATTGCAAAGACTTTAATTAAAAGTGCACACAATCTTCCAGGAGAATCCAATGAACATGCCAAAAAGCAGGTAAGCTGTGTGTTTGTATGTGTGTTATGTTACAGGTGTTAATCGCACAAAATACCAAGAGTGCTTTTGGGCTTTCAATTGCCTTAACTGATAGGATCTTGGAGACTTTCTTATATGTGGTTGTGTAACATGTTAAAGGGTTCTATCTGGATTCCATTTATTAGGCATCTGAGCCACTGATGAGAACTGGCATGTCATCGGTAGAAACTGAAGTCTCTATGCTTGGTGGCAGTTATACTGGTAAAAAGGCTGCTTAGCAGTATGAGGACTGAGTTCAGATCCCCTGAAGCCATGCACACATATGTACATGTGAATGGATAACAAATAAAAAATGATGTTTGTTTTTTAAATACATGAGAATATTTGTACAAAGATGAAGATCTGTCTGAAAATTCCAGATTTTAAGTATAAATTGATTAGTATTTTTTCCTGATCTCCCTGTAAGGTTGACTAGAAATGTGAAGAAGGATGTCTCTCTAAAGAGGACAGGGCAGTGCCTAGGGCTTGGACTGGGGCTTGAGTGTGTAGCTCTAGGAACTGCATAGAAGCAGAGAGAAAGAATGTGATACCAAATGTGTTTGGGAACATTGGTCTATTACAACTGTGCAACCTTCCGGAACATTAGTTGAAAGTAGATACAGATTAGCTACTTTTTTTTTTTTTTTTTGCATGTTAAAGAGCATGCAATAATAATTTTGGTTAAAGTTATTTGTGTGAAGGTGAAACAATGTTCTTGTGTAGAAGTTTCCATTTGTAAGTTTCTATATTTCTAGAGGGGAAAAAAAAACACTAATGGGCCAGAACTTCCATAATCACAGATGTTATAGGGAGGCAATGGCTGCTTTTTGACAATTTTAACTAAATCTGAGATTACTAGAGTTTGTGGTGGGTGAACATAGAGGCAATGTTCTTTGAGTCACCCTCCAATCAGCAACAGGAGCTGTCAGAGGTTCCCACGGTGCAAGGTAGCCTTCATTAATTAATGAATAGCAAAATGAAAAGTAGACATTCATTTTTAAAGATTCAGATAGTGAACGAATGTTTCAGATAAATGAATCATTTGTATCTTAGTATCTGGAATCATGGAGACAAAATGTTTATGCAAACAGGCCCTTTAGTTTATATAAATAGACACTTGGGGTTTTAAAATCCAGATTTTATCATAACTGTATGTTTCAGTTTTGGTTTTCTATGTTTATTTTTTGTTTGCTTTTTTATTATCTACCTGAGTGTGGAGAGGGGGAAGAAATAGAATTAAAAGAAAAAATAGTCAATAGGTCAATGTTTCAATAGGTCACTTTTGTTTAAAATACTATATTACTTGGAAAATATATACATTTGTGTATATTCTATGTTTAATTAATTTAGTATATTTAATATAAGCAAAGTAATTTATATTTTTTACGTGGTCCTACCTTAAATAAAAAGAAAATGTTTTAAGGCATCTATTAATATTATAGCCTTGACAAGAATATTGTCATGTATAATTTATCATATGACTTTGAATAAATGCTAACTATTTTAAAAGAAAATAATGTAGTAAACAAAATAATCTTGGTTAAGCTATTAGAGCAATCACTTTAATGAGGTAAAGAATCAATTTGTATATTTGGGAGTGACTACAGGCCCTGATGAATTCCTTGCCTCTGAGAGTTTGGACTGTGGCTATTGCTGCTTCCCTTTGACCAATAGGTATATTTCTGTCATTCATAGATGGAGGCTCGGAAACGATTGGCTAAGATTGTGTTTGTCTTCGTGGCCTGCTTTGTCTTCTGCTGGTTTCCCAACCACATCCTCTACTTGTACAGGTCTTTCAACTACAAGGAGATCGACCCTTCTCTGGGTCACTTGATTGTCACCTTAGTGGCCCGAGTTCTGAGTTTCAGCAGTTCCTGTGTCAATCCCTTTGCTCTTTACCTGCTCAGTGAAAGCTTCAGGAAACATTTCAACAGCCAGCTCTGCTGCAGAAGGAAGTCCTACCCCGAGAGGTCAACCAACTACCTTCTCAATTCTTCAACAGTGAGAATGACTTCTCTGAAGAGCAAAACAAAGAATGTGGTAACCAGTTCTATCCTTTTAAACGGACACAGCATGAAGCAGGAAATAACACTGTGATTGTAGGCCATTCAACTCACTCTATGAAAATTCCTTACAAACTTTGATATTTTTATTGAGCAAAGCAAAACTCAATAATTTTCACATTCATACTGTCCTCTAGCTAATTTGTCAGGGGATTTTATGACTGACTCAAATACAAGACAAATATTTTTCTCCAAAAGAATTTTATCTTACACGATGCACATCTATAATAAACACATATAACTTACATGCATCTCTTGCTAACATTGATTTACATATTCCTCCAGGATTTAAGGCATTGCAACAAGCAACTGTGTCATACTTTAAATTCCTTTTATTCTAAATCATAGAGAACATTTCCATAATGAGTTATTAATTTGGAGAGAGATAATATTCAAGCACCTATCATTTGTAATATAAATTACATCATTCTAATGAGTCAATTTTATGTATAACTACTATATATGTATGCATATATTTTAATTTGAAAAAACACTAGTGGAGCTTAATCATAATTCACTGATATTTATGGTTCTTTGTATAAATTTAATTCATAGAAATGTTTGTGCATTCTAGATATAGTATTGGAAAGTATGATAACATTTTTATTATGAATTGTAATTTGACCTGCGAATGTGTATATGTGAAACAGTTATTATATGACCCAAATTCCAGTAATATGACTCAGATGTTTGCATTACCATTTTTGTAAACACTTAAGTTCTTGACAATTTAGTTGTTACTGTGTAGGTAATAAGATTTGAATAATTCTGGTGAGGCCTCATTTGCTCTTGTATCTGCCAACTGACAAATGTATGAGATCTCAGGCACTTTTTTCTGCATGATATCAGTTTTATCTGAATAAACATCTTGATATTTTTCAGCAAAGTATAAACATTGTCTTTATTAAATGCCAAAGGCTAACCATTTTTTTAGCCCATATTCCTAATTCTTGAGTTCGTTCATGCCAAGTTGAATTCTAAAAAAATTAAGGTGACTTTGCTGACACTTTAAGTTTCTTTTTAAAAATTCCTAATCCACATTACTGAAGGTATTAAGCAATAATTTTGACAAGCAATTGAAAAATAAAAGAAAGAATATTTCCTATAGCAGATGATTATAATATGATAACCAACACTAATCAAGTGTTTGTTGTTTTCTAGTTTTTTATATTTATTGATTTTTCTTATTTTACATATTATCCCAGTTCCCTCACTCTCCCTTCATCTCTCTCTCCCTCCCATGCCCTCCAATCCCCTACCAATCCATCCCCACCCCACTCCACATGGAGGGTTGATGCCTTCCAAGAGGATACAACAAAATCTGTCAAGTCTTTTGGAGTAGGGACTAGGCCTTTCCTCCTGCCTCTAGGCTAAGGGAGTATATCCCTCCATAGGGAATGTGCTCCCAAAGTCCTTTCCTGTACCAGGGATATATCCTGGTTTCACTGTCAGAGGCCCTTAGACTGCCCAGGCCTTCTAACCGAGACCCATGTTCAGGGGGTCTGAGTCAATCCAATGTTGGTTTCCCAGCTATGAGTTTGGGGGTCCATTAACTCCCCTTTGTTCAGGAAAGCTGTCTCTATGGGTTTCTGTAGCCTGGTCTTGCCCCCATTTTCTTATCACTCCTACTCTCTGCAACTGGATTCAAAGAGTTTGGCTAAGTGTATAGCTGTGGATGTCTGCTTCTCTTTCCATCATCTACTAGATGAGGGCTCTATGATGGCATATAAGTTAGATATCAAACTCAATATCAGGAAAGGGCATTTAGGTGGCCTTTCCACTGTTGCTCAGATTATTAGTTGGGGTCATCCTGTCATTTTTGTAGGTCTCTGGACATTTCTCTAGAGTCAGTTTTCTCTTAAAACCTATAATGACTATCTTTATTATGGTATGTCTTTTTTTTTCTCATCTATTCATCCCCCAAATCAATCATCCTGGTCCCACATGTCCTCCTCTCCTTCCCCCTTCCGCAATCTTCTAACTCCCTCTCCACTCATTGACCCCCTTATTCCCATTATGCTCAGGAGATCTTGTTCCTTTACCCTCCTGTGAGGGACCTTGTATGAATCTCTTAGGTTCCTCCTTGTATCATAGTTGCTCTGGCAGTGTGCATTTTAGGCTGGTGTTCCTTTGTTATATGCCTAAAATCCATATATGAGTGAGTACATATCATGTTCCTCTTTTTATGACTGGGTTACCTCACTAAGGATGAAAGATTCCATTGTTTTTTCCCACTGAGTAGTATTCTGTTATGTAAATATGCCATATCTTCTTTATCCATTCTTCAGTTTAGGGGCATCTAGGTTGTTCCAGGTTCTTGCTATAACAAATAATGCTGCTATGAACTTAGTTGAACAGATGTCTTTGTTGGATGGATGTGGATCATTTGGGTATATGCTTAAGAGTGGAATAACCAGGTCCTATGTAGACTGATTCCCATTTTCTTGAGGAATCACCATAGTGATCTCCAAAATGGCTGTACAAGTTTGCAGTCCCACCAGCAATGGAGGCAAGTGCCTCTTTCTCCATACCCTCTTCAGCATAAACTGTCATTACTGTTTCTAATTTTAGCCAATCTGATGGTATCTCAGAATTATTTTGATTAGCATTTCCCTGATGGCTAAGGATGTTGAGCACTTTCTTAAGATTCTATCAGCCATTTTGGATTCCCATATTGAGAATTCTTCAGTTATGTACCACACTTTTTAATTTAATTTATTATTTTTAATATTTTTCACGTCATTCCCAATTCCCTCTTACTCCCTCCCTCCCTCCCTTTTACACTCTCTGCCCCCTCACATGTACCCTGACCACTCTCCCCTCCAATCCCCCTACCCCAAATCCACATGTAAGGCATTGCCATTCAGATGGGGCCATGTAGGTCTGTCAGGTCATTTGAAGTATGTACTAGGATTCTGTACTCTCTCTAGGTTAAGGCACTAAACCTCCATGGGGGATGTGTTCACAAAGGTCCTTTTGTGCACCAGGGATACATCCTAGTTCCACTGTCTGAGGTCCATTAGACTGCTCAGTCCTTCTGGCTGAGATCCATAATCAGGTGGGACTGAGTAAGACCCATGTTGGATTCCCAGGTATCAGTCTGGGGACCCATTAGCTCCTCCTTGTTAAGGTAAGCTGTCTCTATGTGTTTCTGCAACCAGGTCTTGTTCTCTTCCTCTGCATCTGGATTCTAGTTTGACTCAGTGTTTAGGTATGGGTGTTTGCTTCTGTTTCCAACAGGTAATAGATGAGGGCTCCATGGATAAGTTCCTTGTTGATCTCCCTATCACAGAAGGGCATCTATGGTAGCCTTTCCACGGTTACTCAAATTGTTAGTTGGCAGCAGTATTGTATGTCTCTAGACCTAACTTTAGGTTTAGTTTTCTCTTCAAAACAATTATGGCTCCCTCTTTTATGTTCTCTCTCTCTCTCGTCTTCTATTCCTACCTAAATCAATCTTCCCAGTCACACATGCTTTACTCTCCTCCCCTTCTCTTTTTCCCACTTGTCTCTCCATTCACTGCCCCCTGCCACTTCCCCTGTGCTCTAGGGGAATAGTCAATTCCCCCATCTGTGAGGGACTTTATACAAATCTTTTAGAATACACCTCATATCCTAGTTCCTCTGGTGGTGTGAATTATAGGCTGGTGATCCTTTGATCTAGGACTAAAATCCATATATGAGCGAGTACCTACCATGTTCCTCTTTTTTCTGACAGGGTTACCTCATTCAGGATGGGGTTACTTCAAGTGCCATCCACATGCCTGCAAATTTCAAGATACCATATTTTTTCTGCAGAGTAGTATTCCATTGTGTAGATGTGCCACATTTTCATTAACCATTCTTCAATTGAGGGGCATCTAGGTTGCTTCCAGGTTCTTTCTATTACAAATAACGCTGCTATGAACATAGTTAAGCAGGATGTCTTTGTTGCATGCATGAGGATCATTTGGGTATATGCCTAAGAAGGCCTGTGATAAACTAATTCCCATTTTCCTGAGGAACCGCCATACTGATCTCCAAAATGGCTATATGAGTTTGCACTCCCACCAGCAGTGGAGGAGTGTTCCCATTTCTCCACATCCTCTCCAAAATGAGTCATCATTGGTGTTTCTAATTTTAGCCATTCTGGCAGGAGTAAGATGGTTTCTCAAATTTGGTTTGATTTGCATTTCCCTGATAGCTAAGGATGTGGAACATTTTCTTAAGTGTCTTTCAGCCTTTTTGATTTCCTCTCTTGAGAATTCTTTCTTCAAGTCTGTACCCCATTTTTTAAATAGGGTTATTTGGTATTTTGTTGACTAGTTTCTTGAGTTCTTTGTATATTTTTGGAGATCAGCCCTTTGTCGGATATAGGATTGGTGAAAAATCTTTTCCCAGTCTGTGGGCTGCCGTTTAGAATTGTCCACTGTGTCCTTTGCTGTACAGAAGCTTCTAAGTTTGGAGAGGTCCCATTTATTAATTGTTTCTCTCAGTGTCTGTGCCCCTGGAGTTATGTTCAGGAAGCAGTCTCCTATACCAATTCGTTCAAAGGTACCTACTCCTTTCTTTTCTAAGAGGTTCAGTGTGGCTGGATTGACATTGAGGTCTTTGATCCATTTGGACTTGAGTTTTGTGCATGGCGACAGACATGGGTCTACAGTCTTCTACACGCCCACATCCAATTGTGCCAGCACCATTTGTTGAAGATGCTGTCCTTGCCCCATTGTATAATTTTAGCTGTTTGGTCAAAAATCAGGTGTTCATAGGTGTGTGGGTTAATATCAGGATTTTCAGTTGATTCCATTGGTCTACCTGTCTATTTCTATGCCAATACTGGCTGTTTTCAGAAGTATAGCTCTGTAGTAGAGCTTAAAGTCAGGAATGGTGATGCCTCCCCAAGTTCTTTATTGTATAGGGTTGTTTTGGCTATCCTGGGTCTTTTGTTTTTCCATATAAAGTTGATTATTTTCCTTTCAAGGTCAGTGAAGAATTGTGGTGGGATTTTAACGGGGATTGCATTGAATCTGTAGATTGCTTTTGGTAAGATTGCCA